TGCAGCGGCGGCTGGAGAGCAACGAGCGCGAGCGGCAGCGCATGCACAAGCTCAACAACGCCTTCCAGGCGCTGCGCGAGGTCATCCCGCACGTGCGCGCCGACAAGAAGCTCTCCAAGATCGAGACGCTGACCCTGGCCAAGAACTACATCAAGTCGCTGACCGCCACCATCCTCACCATGTCCAGCGGCCGCCTGGCCAGCCTCGAGGGCCCGGGCCCCAAGCTGTACCAGCACTACCAGCAGGGCGCCGGCGAGTCCCCGCCCGAGAGCCACCTGCAGCGGTACTCCACGCAGATCCACAGCTTCCGCGAGGACACCTAGGCCCCCCGGCAGCCCAGCATGGCCCCGCCGGCCTGAGCCCATGGGGGTGACTTTCGGCCTTCATGGCTCCAGGTTTCCGGGACACTCGGCCACTTCCCGGAGCTGTTCTCCTGTCCCCAGGGGCCTACATCATCCTGGGTCCTGCTCTGGAATGAATTGACCCCATCAGGCAGCCACTGAAAAAGCCTTTGCCTTTTTACCCACATTCTCCGCACCTTCCTCTCCCTTCCGGGCAGAGGCAAACTCCAGGAAAAGGGTTACTTGGAGCCTTCCTGCCTGTGAGGCCAGGGCCCCGGGCCCTGCAGTCGGCCTTCTATGGCGGGATGAGCCAAACTGGCCTCCCATTCCTGGAGGACTGAAACTCTGTGTGAGCTGGACAAAGCCCAAGCCCCGCAGGGTGTGGGGCGTCCAGCTGAGGGGTTTTTACACGGAGCTCCCATCACATGACCCCAGCTCATTCTACAGGGAGTTTGGCTGGAAGGACGGCATCCCTTCCCTCCTGCTGAGATGACCATTCCTGGGGGGGTCTCCCCGCACCGGCTACCCCAAACCCACCTGTGATCCTGGTGCCCGCACGTGCTGAGTAGGGGCTGGAGCAGGGGCTTGTGTTTGGTGGGAGGGGGCTTGTCCCTCATCTCTGAAGCCCTCCTAGGTCAACCAACGTGGGGTGTCTGTTTGACAAAGGGTCATCTGAGAGGGAGCTTGAGAGCAAGAGGCCTGGTGGGGTAGTGGGGAGAGCATTCAGCGGCTCACCGGTCACTCGGCAGGAGAGCCGTGAGGCAGGGTGCTCCTGTAAGACTTATGCCTGGAACCGTGGAACTGTCCCACCTGTCCTCCAGGGTCACCATGGGGTCACGACTGACTGGATGGTTGTGAGTCTGGTTTTGTGGCATGTGTATGATGGAGGGACCACGGTGGTGTGGTTATCAAATCGTTCGACTGCCAATCGCAATGTCGGCGGTTCGAAACTAGCCACTCTGTAGACAAATGTGGTAATCTGCTTCTGGAAAGAGAGCCACCCTAGAAACCTGGGGCAGTCCCTGTCCTACAGGGTCCTTGAGTGGGCACTGAGTGGACGGGTGGGTCAGGTTTGGGGGGCCAGCTAGGCTTTATGCTTGTTCCCGGATCCTGGATCTAGTTGGGACTTTCTCTGTGGAGCTGCTTGGCAAGTGGCTCCCTCCCCCACTCAGACGGGCACAGGCCACCTGGCAGGTCCCCACAGCCTCGGGCCAAGCCCCTCCTGCCGGGGCGTTCCTGAGGCTCTTGTCTCTGTGCCTTCTTGCTGGCACTTCTGCTCCTGTCCCTCTGTGACAGCACTTGGCTCCAGGTCCCCTGAGGCTCTACTGGCAAGAGCTGGGCTGCTGTGACCTTCCTGACCCTGGCACGGGACACTTGGTGCCCCATGGGGCGGGGCTTGGCATGCACTGCAGGTCCATTAACGACAACCAGGGTGGCAGGTGGCTCTGCTTCTGCCTCTCCTGGTCAACCTGGGCCTCAGCCTCCCACGGGGGCCTGTTCCCCTGTCCCCGAGAACCACCATGTTCCTACCAGAACTGGGGATCTGGTAGGTCTCAGCTTCAACTAGCCATCACAGCGGGCAGGCGAGGTCCTCCAGCCTTTCCCTCTGAGAGCCACTTTGTGTGGCCAGTAATTAAGAGTTGCCCACCTGGACGTATCGGGACAGGGCCGACAGAGCCTACGCCCTCAGTGAGGGTGTGGCCAGCTGGCGCAGCAAAGCCCGGGCCGAGGCCTCAAGGGCCTGGACAGGTCTGGGGCATGCCTGCCCAGGACACATCTTCCTTGCCCTCTCTGCTTCCTTTGTTCAGCCGCACGGTGCTGAGTGCTGGGGGAACAGACTGCTGAGGCCGTGTCTTGAACCCTCAATCCCCAGGGCCTCAGATATGTGGCCGGTGGCTGCCGAGGCTGGGAATTTCCTGGACTCATCCATATGCCCGTCCACAGCTGTCGTGGGTGCCGAGCTGGACAGCACCCAGTAAGAAGCGCTCTGGGACCAGAGCTGTGACCCTGTTGTCGGGGGTACATGGAACTAAATGGCAGGTGCCCAGCTGTGATCACAAGGGGAGAAAGCTGGGTGCTTCTTAAAAGACTCGTATGCTTTCATTCTTCCTGAGGCCCCTTCCAAGCGCCCCTGAACCCACATACCCAGAGGAAGGACATTTCAGTCACCAGGGATCAATAAAGCAGTGCTCGCATGCGCACAGGTGTGCGTCATTTATTGTACACGTGTCGCGGAAGGAGAGGGGCTTCCCGAGAGCCGCCACCAGGCTCAGGAGCATGAAGCCATACTGCCCACGTCCAGGGGCTCGACGCGGAAATGTAAACAGACAGGAGGACATGCCCCCAAGTGGACACCATCCACCTTCTACATGATTTATCTAGGGTACACTCGCTCACCTCTCCCAAACACATGGAAGACACCAGGTCCCTCAGTGCTCGGGGCAGGGGCCCCATGCCACCGCCTCCAAGCCCAGTCTGGGCAACAGGACAGGGCATAGCACATCGGAGCTGGACCCGCATTACTCCTGGGGATATGCTCGCGAATGGGGTGCTACAGTGCCAGTGGCCTCCAGGGGTCAACTGTCCACAACAGGACATAAACTTGGAACTTGCCAAGTGGGGCACAGAGACTAGCAAAGGATGCCTGGGGGTGGCAGCTGCCACTGGCCAGGTGGACAGTGCTCTGTCCTTACTGAGGGGGCTGAGTCAGGACCACCCCTTCAGGACCCACTGAGCCCCAACCTAACACTGCATTATCCACAGCCGCCACTCGACCGTGCTTGACACGATCCCACAGACTAGGGGGGACCCGCTGGTGGTGAGACACGTCCAGAAGAGAGGCTACGGCAGATGGAGCTGACCAGTGAGTCTGTGTGGACACTGGAGATGACACCCCCAGACTGCCTCCTTCCCCCAGTTCTGACACGTCCCTTTCTGCAGGTCTTCGGAGGGAGCCCCGCCTTGTGGACTTTCTCTTTGGGGGGGGATGAGGGCAGGCGTGGGGCATTGCCCTGGGTCTCAGTCCTCAAGAAAGGGGCAGATGGGAGAAGAGGTGGGAGGGGCCGGGCTCAGGGGCACCTCCAAACCCAACATGCTCCTTCCAGACTAGGGGCTGCAGGGCCCCCTAACATGTCACATTTTGGGCTGTTGTGGTTCCTAACTGCACAGGGTATGCTGGGGGCTCAATGACCAGCTGCCCCTCCAACCACATGGCCAGCTCCCAGTGGCCTCAGCACAACACTGGGCCACTGACCACCTCCTGTGGGGTCATGTCGGTCTCCAGTGGGGTTGTACTCCTGGGGGCCCTGATGTCGTTGGCCCGGACAGAGATATGATTCCAGTCACCCTGGAAAGAGAATTTCACTGGGTGTCTACCCTCCTCATACTTATGCCAGGCTCCAGCAGGACTCCAATGGGTTGATAACCCTGCACTACTCCCCATGTTGGTCCCAGTGGGAACCCCTACAACCAGGCCATAACAAGCCCAGTGAGGACCCCCAAGACCCAGCCCTCCACTCTGGCCCCAGAGGAAACCTCACATCTTAGCATCCCCACACTGTCCCCAGTGGAGACCCCAGAGCCAGCCCCCTACTTTGTCCAGGGGGACCCCCATGGCCCAGCACCCCTGTGCTGTTGCTCAGCTGGGACCCTGTGGCCTTGCTCACCCCAATGCCGAAGTCCCAGCCCAGCCCACTGGGCTCTCGGGGCTGCACCCCTGTGCGATGGCACACGGTCCCCCGGCTCAGGCTGTGGCTTCCCTGCACCTTGTTGGCGATGACCCAGACCTGGAACACAGGCCCACTGAGCACCACGAGCAGGGGACACGTGGGGACATGTGGCGAGACCCCAGCGTGAGCCCCTCCCCCGCTTACACACCTGGTCCAGGGGCCCCACGGACACCTGGTGCACGTTGTTGGACACGTGCTCCCAGCTGGAGCCTTGTGGGTAACTGGGGACGATGCCCTGGCGATACCACAGGTTGCCTGGAGGGGGGGAGGGAGGAGGGGGAGAGAGAAAGACGAGGTCAACGGAGGAGTCAGCATGCTGGGGCTGGAGTCACCCCACCCACACCCCCAAGCTGCATCGCTGACTGGTGGCACGGCTGCCTCCTACCCTCTGCCTTGGCTGTGGGAACTGTGGACAGAGGGCGGAGCAGGAACAGAACCTCTGGGGTGAGGCACAGAGTCTGCCTTTACTCAACTTTCCCACAGCTGGAACAGCCAAAGCAAAATACTGATTCTTGACAGCAGTGCGGTACACGTCTGGGGTTTAGTGGGCAACAGTGATCCCACTTGTGGTGCATACTGCCACCTAGTGGTTGTCTGTATAATCACATGAATCTAAAAAAAGGGACCACAACTCTGGACCTCATCAAACTCCCACTTGAGTGTAAGCAATTATCATTTCAAAAGTAGGTTTTCATTTCATCCAAACTGTCTCCCATTACTGAAAAACTCATAGCAGAAAACTGGGCTTGGCAGGGTTAGGGGACTGGCCGGAGGCCCACACCTGCCTCCTGGACCAGCCTGGCCCCCATCTCATGTTCCTGCCCTCTCCGGCCCGTCATCACCACATTACTTGGGAAGACTCTCAGGCTTGAGGGCTGGAGGTCACCAAGAGGTCACAAGGCCACCTAGCACAGGCTGGCCATCACCTCTGGCCTTCCATGTCCCCAGGGAAGACACAAGAAGCCACCTCTAGAGGAGAGCAGGTCCAGGGAGTCCAGGGAGCCTCTGGAGAATGTCACTCACCGTTCTCGTCCAAGGCAAACACGGAGGTGTACCCCACAGACACCTGCTTCAGATGCTGTTTCCGGGGAGACGGGACGTGGTACCAGGAGTCGCCTGCAACCAGAGGCCTGGCTGGGGTCTGGGGCTGGCAGGGCCACCCGACACAGCTTGCAGGCCCACATGCAGCACCCGTGGTCAGCTGGGGTGCTGGCCTCTGCCCCTGCCCCCTGGTGCAGCCAGACCTGCTATAACTGCCAGGCCCTGCACCCACCAGCGCCCAACAGGCTAGAACGGCACAGGTGAATGCTGGCCCCTGGCTGCTGTGTAAACGCGGCTGCCGGCCACCACATCCCTCTGCCGGCCACTGCGTGGCTCCTGCACCTGTCCCTCTGTCCGTCTCTCTTCCACTGGCCTGCACAGGCACAGAGCTGAATGCCACCACACCCTGCTTCACTGTGTTTCCATTAGCTGCCCTCCACAGAGGACACACTTTCCAAAAAATTAAGCTGTGGCATCTAAGGCACAATCAACCAGCAACATGGGCTCATTTCTGTCTGTGTCCCATGTTGGTCAGTATCACGGTGCTTCTGACTTTCCTGTGAGCCACTGTCATGTCACGGGTCAGCAGCGTGTCACCTGACTGTCCCTGCAGTGGGAGAGACGGAGGTGCAAGCGTGGCTTTGGTAGCCTCCTAGTTTCACGGTGGGTCTGGAACTGAACTCACAGTATCTGTGACAGGTTCAACTGCCCTGATCTTCCAGGAGAAACCCCTGTGGGCACAAACTCAATGGACAAGCAACCAGACTCGACCCTGGGGTAGGACACATAAGTGACAGGAGGCGGGAGAGCTTTGGCCACTGCACCACCAGGGCTCCTGGTCCACAACGTGTTTTCCTCAAACACCTGCTGAGCTGAACTGACATCAGTACACCCACTGCCCAGCTCCCCCTCTGAAGGAGACCGTGGCCGTGACCCCCTCAGGCCGGCACTAGGCAGACGGTGCTGGGCAGGGGTCATCGGGGGGCACTCACCAGCCGGCTGGGAGGGAGACACAGAGCCGCGGTAGAAGGCGGAGCCGTCATGGGCCACAGCCCACACCTGGTAGCAGGCGCCCACGGAGATGCAGATGAAGGGCTGGTTGGTGCTTACGTGCTGCCAGGACAAACCCTGGAGGGAGAAGGCGCTCAGCCTGAGGCTGGGGGAGGCCCAGGGGGGGCGACAGACCCCAAGGACGGGCCCCCAGGGTCAAGTGACAAGCTGGGTGGGGGAGGGGAGGATGAGGGCGCCTCATCAGTCTGGGAGCCAATCCCGGTCAAGTGGCCTGGTCCCTTAGCCCCTGGCCTCAGTGCTCCTTCTTCTCACGGGCGTAGGAGACAAAAGTCAGGGGACACAGGAGGGGCGGTGCTGACAGGGGGCCTTCGGTCTGTGCTTGGCTGGCCTGTGTCATCGTCACCCTGACACGCCTAGACTGACTCTAGTAGCAGGTGAAGGCCGTGCCCTGGACACCTGAGCCCCTGACGTGGCCCAGAGATGAGCTGGGGATGAGTGCGAGTGCGTGTGCAGGCACATTCACGTGTGGTGTGCACGAGCACATGCGTGAGTGTGTGTGCACGTACAGATGTGTGCACACATGGGCGTAAAGGTGTGTGCATGGGCCCCTGTGCGCACACATGTGAGCATACGTGTGGGAAAATGCATAAGTGTGGAGAGGATGAAAGGCACCCTGGCGTCAAGGACTCTCCTTCACAGGGTCGCTATGAGTCGCCTGCGACTCGACGGCACTTAACAACCACAGCAGGTTTGCATACAGGTGAGTACATGCATGAGTCAGTGTGTACATGCCATGTGCCGGTGCGTGTGTCCACACGGGTGTGAGTGTGAGTGGCTGTGGTGTGCACGTATGTTGTGGGTGTGCGTGACTGTATACTTAGGTGCCCATGTCTGTGTGCAGGCAAGTGTGCGCGCACATGTGTGACGTGTCTTTGGGTGAGTGTTCATGCTTGCATGGACATGCACACACGTGTTACAAGTAAGTGTGCGTGCTTGCATGTGTGTGGACACATGTGCAGGTGAAGATGCATGCTCGCACGTATGTGTGTGTGCACGTGTGTGGACACACGTGTGCAGGTGAAGGTGTATGCTCGCACGTATATGTGTGTGCATGTGTGTGGACACGTGTGCAGGTGAAGGTGCGTGCTCGCACGTATATGTGTGTGCACGTGTGTGGACACACATGTGCAGGTGAAGGTGCATGCTTGCACGTATATGTGTGTGCACGCACACTCACCGCAGGGTTGAGCTCCGACACACCCAGACGGCACAGCACGTCGCCGGTGTCACTGATGGCCCACAGCGCAATGCTGCCCTCGGCGCCTGGACTCTTGGGGATGATGGACACGTCCTTCAGTGTGGTGGAGCTCACCTCCAGCCAGGGCCCGCTGGTCACCAGCTTGCATTTTCTGCACCGAGAAGAAAGCACAGGTCAGAGCCCAAATGTGACCAAGCGCTCTGGCCAGCAGGTTGTCCTTGGAGCCCACGGGAGCCAGGGAGCACGACAGCAAGGTGAAGGCCTCTCCCCAGACCAAAGCCACATCACCGTGGGAGAGTCCACGCCCCCTCACAGGGACCCCGTGGGCCGAGGAGAATGGCTTCTGTGTCCCAGGGCTGTAAGTGCTCGGGGAAGCACTGCCCCATCTCTCTCGAGAAAACAAGCCAAGTGCTTCAGCTACTGCATCCCGACCTCTGACCTCTCCTTGATGGGGGTCACCAGTGCCAGGCTCCTGGGCAGCTCTGGTTCAGGGAGGGGCCAGGTGTGCCACCAGGGGATGGGTGGGGAGTAGGGCAGGTCCTATCCTGGTGCTGTGACATTTCTCTATTTGTCTTCAGAAACCCGAGCCAAGAGGCTGGGAGCCTGCGGCACTTCCTGGCCTGACCTTTACTTTAATTCCATGCCCCACTGCCCACCCCCTCCTGATTCTTCCAGGGATCCAGGGAGGTCAGAGGCCAGGCATTCCCCAGAACTGCCCCCAGGCAGCCGAGTCACCTAGTCCAGCAGCGTCTGCGCACAAAGTCCTTCTTGGTCTTGTTCCCCCGGTATGAGCTGCAGGAAGAAGCACCGAGGTCGAGACTTCCCTGGAAACCTGGTCAGCAGGGCACAGGGCAGTCCAGCCGCTGTGGGCGTGGTGCCAAGGCCCCCTCTGCCAGCAGGATGTGGGCCTCCTGGGGTGAGGTCCCTCCTGGGTGGAGGTGGCCACCTATCCAGGCAGACTGGTCCAGGAAAGGGGTTCTGAGCTCACCACAACCCTTTCTGGGCTGGTGGTCAGGGGCCCCGGCCCACCCCGGGTCTGTTCAGAAGCAGCCCTGCTTCAGCCCTCCACGCTCCATTTCTGATTTTCTGATGTGACCATACCAGGTAAGTGCCACACGCAGGCGACACCTTCCACCAGCCCTCCTACCCCTCACCCACCGTGGTCTAACCCCACAAGGTATCCTGCCTCACCCTGTCCCCGAAACCCGACACCCTGTCCCCTGGGGCCTTCCCTCCCAGCAGGGACAGAGCCAGGTCCAGACCTGACTGTCTCATTGGCAGGTGAGCAGCTAAGGCTCTCAGGCCCCTTCAGCTGCTCCAGTCCTGCTGCCCGGCAGTGGCCTGGGGTCTGAGGATGGCAGGCAGGGGACAGTGGGGCAGGGAACAGTTGGCAAAGGCTGCTGAGAGAAGTGGGCTGCCAGGGTCTGGGGTCTGGAGCCCAGGAAGCCCAGTGTAGCGGGCAAGGTGCTTACAAAGGGAAGTCGGTCGCATACTGCCATCCGTCCGGATCGGTGCCCCCGGGGACACTGAAGTCCACGTACCACTCAGAGACCTACGAAGAGGCTGAGTCAGACTCTTGCACCAGGAAACCAAGGTGCGGGTCAGACCTGGGGTCCCACTTGTACCCTGAAACTGAGGTTTCCACCTGGGAATCCCACCTGCACCACAAAATGGAGAAGCCACTCAGAAATGGGGACCCCACCTGCACCCTGAAACCAAGGAGCCACAGACCCGAGGGAGGAGCTCACCCAGGTCCACTGTGGTGAGGGCGGCTTCGTGCAGGCCTTGGTCCGCTCCTGCAGCCCAGAGGCGTCGCTCCACATGTACCGGTCAGTGGGCAGACCCCTGTGAGGACCCAGGTGAGGAGGAGGACCTGAGGCAGGCCGTCAGCGGGGTGACAGGCTGGGGCTCCCTCTGGGGGGCCCCAAGTAAGGAGTGTGTACCCCCAGTGCCAGACCAAGTGCCCAGGGGACACACTCAGGTCCCTGAATTCAGAAGTCCAGCCCCCTGAACTTTGAGAATACAGCATCCTTCCGAGCCCCTGCCTGTGGCATCGGTGCTACAGCGGCACTGAGAGACTGAGGCACCGCTCACTGGAGTGCGAGGCGATAGGTGCTGGGCTAAACAAAAGGCTGGGGGTTCGAATCAACTAGCAGCTCCTTGACAGAAAAATGAAGCAGCCTGCACCTCTAAGATCTGCAGAAGCCCGAGGGCATTGCCACGAGTCAGAATCACCCCAATGACAGTGATTATAACTCGGAAGGGACAGGTGACCCAAGCCGTGACAGCTGTAACTGCCACACTTGTGTGTGAATGCTGGACAGTGAACAAGGACACAGACTCTGTGCTTCCGCGTGAGTATGGACAAAGAATAGGGACTATCCTCCGGGCTGCTAAGGGACAGGCCTGTCCCGGACGGAGTGCAGCCACTGTGCTCCTCAGAAGAGATGGAGAGGACATTTATCTCATTCCTTGGAGACATTGTCAGGAAGGGCCAGTTGCTGGAGGCCACCAAGCTTGGAAAAACGGGGTTTCAGCCAAAAAGAGGAAACCCTCAATGAGATGGATAAGTACGTGGCTGAAACAGTGGATGAAAACGTGACGACGTGAGGCGTGTGGGACCAGGTGGCGTTCCGTTCACGGGGCAGCTGAGCTGGGACCACCTTGAGGACACTGAACAAGAAACACGTGGGCACGTGTGCACTTCCCGAGACGCGAACCGGCCGCTCCGTGCGGCAGGCAGGCCTTCCCGGTGCGGCTGACCACACGCAGGGACCCTCTCAGGGACAGCCTCACCTTCCTCGACAGGAGCAGCTGCTGGGTTTGGACCACTGACTTCCTGGGCAGCAGCACTTTACCGCTGCATTACCAGGGTTCCTTCCCAAAGTGACACCCCTCAATAAATGAGCTTCTGAAGTCTGAATCCTGAGGTTTAGCTCGAGAAACGCAGCTGGCAAACAGGAGGCTGCTGGTGGGCAGCGCCAGGTGGGTACCAGCCCTTCCCCAGCCGACATGGACTGGTTCTGGGCCCCGTCCCTACCTGCTGGTGTAGCCGGCGATGGGGTTCCAGCGCTGGTTCTCATATATAGAGATGCACTTTATGTCTGACTGCGGATAGACATTGGTGCTGCTGTCCACACCTGTGGGGACAGGGGGCCTTGGTGCCAGCCCACCCAGACGCAGGGTTGGGGGAGCAAAGAGAGGCCAGAGCCCACATTAGTGAGAAGGGGCAATGCCTCCTCTTGCAGGGGACCAGGCCAGCGTGGGCCCCGATGCCCTGTGGCCATTGAGAAGAGTCTGTGGTCTGTGCCCAGATGCACCTCTCTCCTTGTCGCTTCTGCTACCAGCCCTTCAATGAGTATGAGGCCCACAGCACACTCTTCACCAGGAAATACCTGGGACCATCATGTAACCTCCATAACCCCGTAACTTCCTCATTTGTCAAGTGGGAACTGGGGAGCTGTGGTGGTGCAGTGGGGGGGCAACCTGCTTCTGTAAAGACAACAGCCTTGGAGACTTGTCAGGCCGGTTCAACTCTGTCCTGCAGGATCTCTGCAAGTTGGAACTGACGCTTCAGGGGTGTGTGTATGTGCACGTGTGTGTGTGTGTGTGTGTGAAGTGGAGATCACATTAATGGTTTGGGGGTGTGTGTAAAGCAGAGATCACATTAATAGTGTGTGTGTGTGTGTGTGTGAAGTGGAGATCACATTAATGGCTTGGCGGGTGTGTGTAAAGCAGAGATCATATTAATTGTGTGTGTGTGTGTGTGTGTGTGTGTGTGTGTGTGAAGCGGCAGAGATCACATTAATTCCAGCCTCATAAACAAGAAACTGTTAACTTGGGCCGATGGTTGAGCTGTGGTCTTAGTGGACCATTGCTCTATCAAGATTCGCTGTAGGGCACAGAACTGTTCTATTTTTGACTAACAGAGTGTCATGGAACTCAGGGCCCACCTAGAAGGAGACCAGCATTTGGGTTTGGTAATCAGGAGAATGGGGCCTGGGCAGCCCCCTGCAACCACAAGTCCTATCCAAAATGAGGGCTGGAAACTCTCTAAGGTCCTGGCGGCTAGCTGGTCTTTCTAGAACCTTCACAGCCATTTGCATGGTGAGGGAAGGCTCCTACAGGCCAGCCCAGGGTCAGCCTGCCCCTCCCTCATCCCCTGGTGGTAAGAAAGCCACCTGCCAGCTCGCTGCCAGCCAGGTTTCACGGGAACCCTGGGCAAGGGAGCAGGACATGGAGTTGGGGAAGAACTCCCATGAATGCTGGGCACAGCCTGGGCTGGTCAGCAAGCCACATGGCCTCACCTTGTAAGTAGCCTCCGCCATAGCCGCCTGTGTACACCCAGGCCTTGTGGTCGTAGCCAAGGCCCCACACCACACCATGCCCACTGGCCTCCACCATTCTCAGGTGACCGCCTATCTGCCGCCAGAACCTGGAGGGCAGGGGGGCAGGGGAGGAGAGCCTGCCTTCAGTCCTTGTCTAGCCATGTATTTTCCCATGGACAGCCGGCTGGGCACAGAAGCACCACACGTGGCTTCCAGTTTCAAAGGAAGCAGAGCGTGGCCATCTGACCCCTCCAGCAGGGCCTCAAAAGCCTGGCTGACAGGCTGGGTGGAGTGCGTGGCCCACCCTGAGGAGCCAAGGAGACTCAGGATTCTCCCTCTGCCCCAGACGGCCATCACGGTCATCTCTCGGAGATTTCTAGCTTAGATGGACCTACGTCCCCCCAACAGCTGCATCACACAGGGCCCGGCCCCTAAATGTCCACCATTCTATGGGGCTATACTCCACAGAATGTCCCCTGCTGCCCCTCTCTCTCTCCAGTGCCCTTCCCTTGGCCTTGCCCCCTACTCCATTCCTTAGCCCTCACGGGTCCCACAGCATGGGCTGTGCTCTCCTCTCACAGTTCCCTTCTTAGAGTCCAAAAGGGCTTCCAAACAGAAGTGGACACAGCACTGCCCACAAGACCCCCAAGGGCTCCTGGCACCCTCTGTCACTCTGTCTATAACTTAAAGAACATCATCCTTGTGACCAAACTGGTGTATGTGCTCAAACAAGAACAAAATAAAATGCTGGGAAAAATCAACGTGTAAAAAATGATACACACACACATGATGTCAGTAAACTAACCGAATTTCAAATTCACATGGAATCCAGACTTTCTGGAGCCACGGAGCCTCAACAAACCCCTGAAACAGCTGTCTAAGATAATCTTTAAACCTTAAACCAAAAATATCCCCTGAAGCAATCTTAAATCCAAACCAGAGTGGAGCTTAACTTGTAAGGAAGTCAATGAAAAAGCAGTGTGCTCTTTTTATCTCCACACAATCAAGGTGACAACAGCAACGCACAGGGTTAGATGGGGGCCTCTGAGGCAGCGAGTCTGTGGTCAGACTGCGGAAGAACCACTAGGGGAAAGGGGGCTGGCAAGGAGGGTGCACCTCGCAGAACTGAATCATGCAGGTGGAGACCGCCAAGCTGGTGTCTGCTTTGCTGCACATTCTCACCAACCACACAGTAGAAGAGATTGACTACAACAGTGATCAAACACAGGTACGGCAAATGAGAATTCTAAGAATGAAAAAATAATAATAACTGAAAAATAAAGTGTTTTTGTGACCCGTGCTCCTTAGGATGCCCAGTTAAGGGCAGCCCTAGGCCTCCCGCCTTTAGGGTTCCTGGTTATGGACAGCTAGCTGTAGGCCACTAACACACTGTCCTGTCCAGAAGATGCTCCCCAACATCTCCTTTGTGTCTTCCTGTCACTTCACCTGATTTCACCTGTCCCCATGGACTTGTCACCTCAATCAGAGTGAACATACCCAGCCGCTGGCTTCCTGCCCTCCTCAGGCTCCTCGGCCTTCGCAGACACAAGGTTAGAGGGCAGACTGTGGGTGAGGACGCTGGTCATCAGTCTGGCCTCACCGTGGGCCTGGGCAAATCCCTGTCCCTTGCAGGGCTCAAGTGCAGCCTCCTCAGTTGAGCAGAAGGCTGGCTGTCAACTGGGGTACAGGTGGCCCCTAATACAGACACTTGGCCCGCTCCTCTCCCCAGACCCTGGCTCTCTGAGGACCACAGGCAGCAGGGTTACCGACAGAAGACAGCTCAGCTGACGGCCGGTCATAGGGAGAGAGCCGGCCTCTCCTCGACGTCCACCCTCCTCGCTCCTTCTCTAAGTGCTCACCCCACCTGAGCCAGCTCTCAGGGTCGCCCCGGTGGGACCCACTGCAGGCCCAGGAGGCAGGGCAGGGAGCCAGGAACTGCTCTCAGGCCTGAGGAGGTCGAGACTCCTCTCCTCTGGACACAGCTCTGAGTGCTAAGAGTCCACGGGTCAAAGCCTTCCTTCCAGACCGCAGGCTAGCGTGGGGGCAGGGAGACAGCTGCCCCCTTCTGAACACAGCCTTTAGGGATAAAGGGACAGGCCCTGGGAGGTGGCAGACAGGGCCTCCTTGCTGGACCCCAGTGCTGGACGCTGGGCAGGGGCGGGGAGAGCACCACTCACATCTGGTCACAAGGCAGTGCCAGCGCGCGCTCCGGGGCCTCCAGGTTGTGACTGGGTTCGCTCACAAAGATGTCCCCTTTGCAGGTGACAGACCAGATGGCCTGGGGGGAGGGGCACCCACGCAGCCTTCGGCTCTCACAGCAGGACAGGCTGAGCAGGGCCAGCTGGCGGAGGAGACTCAGTCAGTGCCAAGCAGGGGTGGGGGCGGGGCGGGCCGGCCAGGTGGGGCTCCACCCACTCACCCAGTCGTTCATTTCCTGCTCCGTGGGGGCTGCCAGGCGCACAGGCCACCTCTGTTGGGTCCTCTCTGGAGTGTACAGGGCGAAGGAGTGCTTGGCCTCATATAGGATCGGAACCACCACGGTCACTTCGTTGAGGAATATGTGGAGGTACTGTCCAGAGACTAGGTGTCACCAGGGACACAGGGGACAGCACTGGGCTTGCACCCTGAAGGTCCCTGCCGGGCTCGGCCACAGCTGGGACGTGTGGACCATCTCTGTGGGAAATGCACAGGGATTGGCCTGCCAAAGGGTCCCCCCAATTCTACAGAGCTCACCCTCAGGGGCTGCTGTTGGAAGGACCTCTGGTTGGTTTGGGGTTAAGAAGGTGAGTGGTTCAAAGCCACAGCACCCCAGAGGAGAAAGATTAACAGCCTCAGAAACCCCAGGGGCACTCCCACTGCTCTGTGCGGTCACTAAGAATCGGAATCAACTGATGGCAGTGCCTGTCCTTGGACAAGCGGACTCATTGTCTCATCGGGCTGTTTTAATGTGGACTCAAGCCCGCTCCTCCCTGATGATCAGGGTCAAGCTATCTCTGTGCCACGAGAACCAGAACCATGTATGCTGGTGTCAGGAGCAGGGAGAGGCCACGGAAGATTCTGGAAGGACTCCAGATGGTGGGCCATCACCACAAATGAAGGGACAGCAGTCACCATGAAGAAGGGCTGTAGTTACCAGTCATCATGGAGGGGGACTGTGACCACCACAGAGGGGGCTGTGACACCACGGAGGGGGCTGTGGCCACCACGGAGGGAGCTGTGACACCACAAAAGAGGCTGTGACACCACGGAGGGGACTGTGACCACCACAGAAGAGGCTGTGGCACCATGGAGGGGGCTGTGACCACCACGGAGGGAGCTGTGACACCACGGAGGGGGCTGTGACCACCACGGAGGGGGCTGTGGCCACCACGGAGGGAGCTGTGACACCACAAAAGAGGCTGTGACACCATGGAGGGGACTGTGACCACCACGGAGGGAGCTGTGACACCACGGAGGGAGCTGTGACCACCACAGAGGGGGCTGTGACCACCACGGAGGGGGCTGTGACCACCACAGATGAGGGGCAGTGGTCATCAGAGATGGGGAACAGCACTTATCATGGAGAAAGGACTCTATTCGGGGGGAGGAGGGGTCCTGTGGTCATGTGATTGTGGTCTCCTTGGTCAGATCACTCCTAGCAGGCACCTGCACTGAGCACCTCAGGGTTCTCCCTTCGCTCCCACACCTGCCCCACACACCTTCTTCTCCTCTTGGACCATGTAGTAGATGAAGAGGATGCTGTCCTGCGCCCCATCGTTCCCCGTGAACTGCTCCAGGACCACGCGCACGTCCACCCACTTGTGGGGCTTCCAGTCACACCACCACTGCAGCGCCCCTGTCTTCACCCACACTGACTGGGGGACAAGAGCATGGGTTACAGACTAGCTCCAGCAGCTCCCTGCACCCCAAGGAGAGAGGCCTGGGAGTCTCCTGTCAAGCTCTGCCCCACCTTGTAGGTAAAAGCATAGTGACATGAGGGATACCTTGTAGGTGTCCAGTGCTGACAATACAGTACCTAACAACGCTCATCACTGTTCTAGTCCAGACTCCAGGGGAAACTGAGGCACAGAGTGGATCTATGCTCAATGTCAGGAGTGTGATGCTGGGAGCCCACCCTGGACTCTCAGGCCCCTCCACACCAGCCTGGGGCCATACTTGACCTGGAGCGACTGGGGCACCTGCTGCCCTAAGCCTCTGTGGGTCACCTACGCTATTCACATAACTTCTGTCTTCTCAGCCCAGCGGTGGGCCCTCCAAGAACAGGCTGAGCATGGACAGCCTCAGGTGGGGTCTTGTGGCCTCCCCAAGTTCTGTCCTGGCTTGCGTGGGCACTCAGGCTGTTCTCTGGTAACAGGGCCCCACCAGTCTTGCCCTAGAAAGGATTACACACAGGGCCTGCAGCTCCAGGGCCTGAACTCAAGCTCTGAGAAGTGTCTTCATCCTGAATCCATCATAGGCTTCAATGGCGTGATTTATCCCCAAGACAGATGGGGCCTGTTTCTTGCTCCCCCATGAGAGGCAGCATACAGTACGTGGGGGGTGGCACATAGTGGGCATGTGTGCATGCCAAGAGAGGAACAGGAGAAGGCAGGGACTTCATGAATGCCTATGAGGGGCTGGTATACAGCAGACACTCCACAAATGTCTGTGAGGGGCTGGTATACAGCAGACACTCCACAAATGTCTGTGAGGGGCAGGTATACAGCAGGCACTCCACAAATGTCTGAGGGGCGGGTATATAGCAGGCACTCCACAGATGTCTGTGAGGGGCTGGTATACAGCAGGCACTCCATGAATGAATGCCTGTGAGGGGCTGGTATACAGCAGGCACTCCACAAATGTCTGTGAGGGGCTGGTATACAGCAGACACTCCACAGATGTCTGTGAGGGGCTGGTATACAGCAGGCACTCCACAAATGTCTGAGGGGCGGGTATATAGCAGGCACTCCATGAATGCCTGTGAGGGGCTGGTATATAGTAACCTGTGGTGTTAACCTAAAAGTTGGTTTTAAGCCATTTAACTGCCTCTGGTCTCCAGCTTCCTTAACTGTAGACAGTGTTGCAAATTGCATCAGCTGTGGGACTAGGATAAGTGAAAGAGTGCTTCCCACACTGAGCAGCAAGACTTCTGGTGAGCAAGGCTTATGAAGGCAAGGAGGCCCTGATGGTGGAGACTGTGGCATTGCTGTGGAGAAACGGTGGCAAGGTGTGACCTGAGGCTTCTTGCATTTGTGCTGGCTACAGTTTTATTTTGCTATTCTTATCTTTGATGATGGAAGGAATGGTTTTCTGAATTAAAGCTGGAGCCTGGACTAAGTGAGGAATTGTGCCTTGGGACTGTTTGATTAAAACTTGGGTTTTGCCTCCCCCATTCTCCCATTTCCTTCCCTAATAAACCTCATTGTTGGTACCATAACTGTGAGTCAGCAACGAATAAATGAACCTCTGCTGCTGGGGCTCACGAGGCACCAGGGGACTGGGTTATGGGCTCTTCATCCGCTTTCTGCTCTGGGCCTGTGAGGGGCTGTTATTCTCACTCCTCCTGGCCCTTTCACAGAGACATTCCTGACCCCTATGTACCGTTTTCTCCTCTTTGGACAAACACATACTCCACGAATGCCTGTGCGGGAGGGTATACAACAGGTTCTTCAGGAATGCTTGTGGGGGGCAGGGAGGAGGGTACACAGCAGGCACTCCACAAATGCCCGTGTGAGGCTGGTCTACACCCTGGTGGACACGCACCTGCTCCACGGCCTGCTCGTAGTGCCGGAAGTTCTCCAGCTCCCGTCTGGTCCTCTCGGTGAGCTGGCTGAGAATCTTCTTCCTCCAGGCGGTGACCTGGGCCAGCGTCACAGGGGGGCCCAGCGTCTGCACTGGGGCCAGGCCTGCAGAGGGGTTCTCAGTGCAGTGGTCAGGGTCCCCTCAGATCCCTGGCCTGAGGTTGGCCCACTCCCCAGACCCCGTCCAGGCAGGCAGAGGCCAGTGTTCCTTCTCATGTGTGCATTTTCTTTTCTTACTAGAAAGCTGGGACCTCCGAAAACAGCCTCACTAGCCCCCACATTCACCCTGACAGGCAGACAGCTCTCCTCTCACGGGTCGGCAGGGAGGGGCAGGGCTCTGAGGTGGCAGGCAGGCTGGTCTGACTTGGGGACATGGAGTCAAGGATACAGACAGCTGGGTGCAAGGGTGCAACCAGCAGAATGGGCATGTTTAGAGTCCAGGCCACACCCCGTCCCAATCCTCCCCGGGGTCACAGCAGGGCTCTTACCTGAAGGGGCAGAGAACCACTTGAGGGCCATGTGGGCCTCCACGGCACAGCCTCCTCCAGACACCCAGGCCCAGCGCAGCTGGTCATCGTCGCGGTATGGCTCCTCCAGGCCCAGCGGCAGGAGCCCCACGGCCGGTTCGAGGAGGCCGGGCGCCTGCCGGGGCTCCTTCAGGTCGATGGTGGTCCAGGGCAGCACAGCCGGCGGGGAGTCTGGGTTGGGCTGAGGGTCCCCACCTGGTTCCTTGGCTGTGTTGTCCTGCCCCTCTGCCTTGGCTGCTGGTTGGTCCTTGTCATTCCCGGGGTTGTCCGGAGAGTCGGCAGGGGTGCTGGCGTCGTTAGGGGCACAGTACTCACTACTGCCCCTCACCTCATCACCGAAGAAGCAGCCAGCACTGGGGACAAGACAGGCCAGCCATCACTCTGCTGCAGCACCTCTGGTCCTGCTCCCCTCTAACCATCAGGGTGCCCTTGTGCAGCCCCCGCCCCCTCTTCCCGGCTGAAACCACTGACATCCTGGCTGTCCTTAGAATCCCCTCTGACCCCTATCCGCACAGCCAGGCAGGCAGCCAACGTGGTCTTGCCTGTACCGTGGTAAGGCTGTGTTGTGTTGTGTTGTGTTGAGGGGGGGGTGCCTGCTGGATGTGGGTTTCAATACAGGGCAACCCCCCCGACAGAGCAGAACTGTTGCCCAGGGTTTCTAGGCTGCAATCTCTACGGCAAGGGAGCTCTGGTGATGCAGTGCATAATGCAGCTGGGCTGCTAACTAAAAGGTCAACAGTTTGAATCCATCTGCTGCTCTGAGGGAGACAGTCTCCTCTCATTAAGACTTACAGTCCTGGAAACCCAGCCGAGGGGTTACCATGAGTCAGAACGGAGCTGGCTGCAGCTGGTTTGATTTTGCTTTGAAGCTAAGGGAGCAGACGGCCAGGTCTTCCTTCCTTCCGTGGACCCCCTGGGTGGATTCAAATCTTAACTCTTTGGGTAGCAGCTGAATGCTTAACTGTGTGTCACCAGGGCCCCAAGGAGCAAGTGGCACCCTGGCCGGGGTGGCCAAAGCCTAGTCATCCCTGTCCGGGGGAGGGGCAGGGAGGCCTTACGCCAGCAGCCCATTCTCCCTCCACCCTGTCTCACTTGAGGACGCTGGACGAGCCGCCCGAGTGTGACTGGTCACATTCTCGGCCAGCAACGATGGCCTTCCACGTCTTCCCGCTGAGCTCACTGGGGGTAATGCCCTGCCGGAAGTACATTTCCCGGTCCTTGACCGCGATGCCCCAGACCTGGAACAGAGAGGTGCTGATGGGTCCTCCCTCACTGTACGTGTCCACCCAGGGCCCTGCCCTGCACCTTGGACGCTGACCCTGAGGCCGCGTGCCCTGCTCACCTGGTCATTGAGTCCCACGTTCACCATCACCATTTCCCCAACCATCTCAATCCAGCTGGTGCCACAGGGACTGTGCGAACTGACACCTCTCCGGAACCACACCTGGGAGAGCCACGTGGGCGGTCGGGGACAGAAAGGTGCACTTTTCTTTCGTTGTAAGGTTCAGAGTGAACAAGTGAATAATCTCATCTTTCATTCAGGCCACAAATTGACACAGAAAAGTGTCCAGCAGGCACATTACCCATGTGTGTCCTCTCCCCTGCTGTCCAGGCTGTGTCCCTCACTGCTGAGGGGTCACCTACCCTCACCTACATCAGCTCTGGAGATTTCATCTGCCTGAAGGCTCTAAAACTCCACCTCTCTAGAACCTTCTCCCCAGTAAGCACACAAGGGTCTCACCTACCGTCCAGGTACTGGGCAGTCCTGCAGGGTGTGAACCAGAGAGGAAGGGCTTGTCCATGGGAATTCTGGACCTGAGGTCTGTCACCCTGGCCCTAATCTTAGCCCTAAACCTTAACTCTAAAACCAATGTCTAAACATCAACTCTACCCCAAACCTGAACCCTAAACTAACCCTGACCCCAGCCCCTGCCAAGCTGGCCCGGACTCAGGTGGTAGGCCACTCAACTGTCCGCAATGCATAACGCTTGCAAAAGATCATTTTACCAAGTGGCATCTCTTTTGTGTAAGAGAATGGCCTTTCTGACGTTATACAGAAAAACAATTTTTCTACACTCCTCAATAGAAACAACGGCACATTCTAAGACTGATCGACACCTTCTGATTCCATCTCGTGAAGTCTCACTTTTTTTCATGTCCACTTTTATAAACCTACACCACATGGCTGTACTTTTCTCTGGCCAAGTGACAGCCTGTGACTCCCTTGCTCATTGTTCCTCTGGCCTTGTGACACACCTGTCCACTTGGCCCGTCCCCATGATTCCCAAGGATGGTCCTTGCCCATTCCACAGGTGGCCTGGACAAGTCCTTGTCTACTGGGGACCCTGTGCCATGATCATGAACTCTCAGAAATGGTTAAGTCAAAAATTCTCATGCACTTTTTATGCAAATATCTTCAACAAGCACATTTTCTCTGCTGAACCAGAACAAGTGGAGCCCATCAAAGTCCTGCCAGGAGACCGAGCAACTGACGCATCAAAGGTGTAGGGCATTGACTCTGAGCGTCCAGCACTTTCTCTAAGGACAGTCTGAGTTGACTTTGGACTGAAGGGTGGCCTTCTCAGGACCTTCTGAGACCTTAGCACTGATGAAGCAGGTGCAGAAATAGGAGTTCCCTCCTCCCTATAGGACAGTGGGTGGGCCCTTGACTTGTGGTTAAAAAGGATTTTGTGCAGAATCGGAAATCTGCTTATTCTACTATACCTTGCTGCTGAGAAAATTAAGGAGCCCTGGTCACACAGTGGGTAACATCAGGCTTCTAACTAAAGGCTGACAGTTCAAATCCACCAGATCATCTGGAGGAAGAAAGACAAGCAATCCCCTCCTATAAAGATTTACAACCTTAGAAACCTGATGAAGGCTCAACGTGAGTCTGGACTGACTGGGTGGCAGTGGGTCTGGTAAAAATGGCAAATACTGCATGGAAGTGAGGGGAGGCCTTCCATTAATCGAGGGTCTGGAAAAATTAGGCCAGGGACCATCGAGTCAGTTCCAACTCTCAACGACACTATGTGTCAGAATGAAAGTCGGCTCCCTCAGGTTTTCGAAGGCTGAGTTTCCAGCAGTAGGTTGCCAGGTTTTTCTTCCTAGGTGCCTTTGGGAGGACTGGCATCTGCAGTCTCTTGGCGAGCAGCTGGGCACCTGAACCACTCCACCATGCAGGTGTTTCTTCAGTAAAGTGGCTCTGGTCACGGGAATGGTAAGGAGATGCCAGTCAAGTAGAGTTGGGTTGCTTTCTCATATGGAGTGAGTGGCACACAGTGGAGATGGGGGATTTTGCAGGCATCAAACATTCTGCAAATCCTCGACCATTTCCACAGCACAAAATTCATTCTGCTTGACTCATTCTAAGCGGCTCCGACTGCCTCCTGAGGAAAGAGACAAGACAGCCAGCATGCTCTGCAGAGGAGCCCTCGGGGCCCAGCTGCCATGTGCTTGATGGCTATGCAGATGGCTGGCACCTGAACCCACCCAGCTCCTGGCATGACAGTTGAGGGAACCCCTTGGGGCTGTACTGTCAAGCGGGGTCACGAGTCAGAATGGAGGTGATGGCACTGATGATACCCCCACAGCAGCCCGTCTTACCTTCCGGTCTTTGGTCACAGCCCACACCACACTGGCACCCACGGAAATGTGTGTGATTCCATTCTCAGTCACAGGGGCCTCGACGATGGACCAGGAGCTCCCTGCAACCCCAGAAAGAAAACGAGGCGGCCTCCATGAGCCAGGAGGGCCGGGTGTGGGCACCCTCAGCACTGCCAGCTGGGGCATGAGATACCCTGTGCCCACCTTTGGGGTTGTGCCTGCTGATGCCTTCTCGCACTAGGGCCTTCCCTTCCGAGACTGTGGCCCACAAGAGGTCGCAGGGCCCGCAGCTGATCTGGACCACGTCCTCTGGGGTGTCCACGAGGGACCAGGAGGAGCCCTCGGGATTGGAGTGGCTGACATTCTCTCGGTACCACACCTGGAGAGAGAGGGCAGCTCAGACTTAGGGTGCACTGCAGGAGAAAGGAGGCAGCCACAGGCTAGTGTGGGGACCCTCGGGGGACGTGGGGCCATGCACCCTGACTGCACAGCTCTCCCCTGACCTCACAGGGGTCAGATGCCAACCATAAATTCGGCTGCCCTCAGAGACAGACCAGGAGTCCCTGGATGGTGCAAAGGTTAAGCTGACTAAAAAGTAGATGGTTCGGACCCATCAATCGCCCTTTGGGAAAACACTCTTGTGATTTGTTCCCACAAGGCTATAGCCTTGGAAAACCCACAGGACAATGTCCTGTCACATGGGGTCATGGTAAGTCAGAATCAACGGACGGCACCCAGCAACAAGGACAGACAGAGGAATTTTTGGTTAAGACTTGAGAATGAGTCAAAAGGCTGGTGGCTGGAACCCACCCTGAGGCACCTGGGAAGACAGACCTGCTGATCTGCTCCCCGAAGGTTACAGCTACGGAGACCCTGAGGTTCCACTCTGCACAAGCGGTCACCTCATGGCACCTACCCCCCAGCGCTGGGCCTGCCTTGCCCAGCAGGTGCCCCAGTTAATCTCCAGCTCTGCCCTGGTCAGTCGGTAGCTGATCGCCCCCTAATGGTAATGCGTGCTCACAACACCTGTCTCCAGGAACCTAGTCAAGAGGGGTCGATGAGAAAACCTCAAGCCCCTTTCAGAAAAATGTCCTTCCAACACCTGTCTGAAACAGCAGACCACCCCCACTGCTGTGTGCCTTCTGAGCCTGGCAGTGTGGTCTCAGTAGAAGGGTGGTCTTCAGACGGCACAGCAGGGCAGGTTCAGGCGACCTCACTTCCTGATGGATTTGGGGCTGTCTCCCAGCTTCTCCCAGAGCACAGAGCTCAGGGCTGACTGACCCTGCCAGCACACAGCTCGGCCCTTCCGCCTCCTCACCCCTCTGGAGCCCCTGGCCAGCTGACTGGCCCCCACCCGCCACTTGTCTAGAGAGGGCTGAGTGATTAGTCAAAGGCCAGGCCAAGCGTGAGCCTGGGTGAGCCGGCTAAGAACCTGCTTGGACAACTCCAAAGGCAAGTCTGCGGATTGTGGTCTGTGTGTGGGATGAGCTATGGAGTTATCACACAAGGTGACCCAAAATTAGGAACAAAGGGTGGGACGGTGACCTCGGGCCTGGGACCCTCTGGGAGGGGCCACTGCTGCCTCCAAGGACTGGCTCACTCTGCTTCATTCACAAGCTCCTCAGGGGAGGTTTTCTTCTTTTCTGAATGACCACCAATCACCCATCCAGTTACCCGTCTAGTCACACACACTCATCCACCCTGTATCCAGCCAACCTTCTACCTATCCATGCATCTACCTACCTAGACATACACCCACGTATGCATTCACCCCATCCCCTCACCCACCCCTGCTACCCAACCTTACAACCACCTGTCCTCTACCTGCCCAAACACCCATTCACCTTTTCCCCTACCCAACCAACCATCATTCACTCAACCACACAGCCCATCCACCGATCCCCACCCCACCCCAGCCCCTCTCCAACCTTCCATTCACTCAACCACACAGCACCCCCATCCACCGATCCCCACCCCACCCCAGTCCTGGAGACCTGCAGTGTGGAAGGCACCAAGGCAGCTGGCAGGAGCTATGCCGCCACCTTTATTTGTGGTACCTGAACACAGGCAATGCACAGATCTGTGCTCTAGGGACACAGAGGAGGGACAGACCAGGACCAGGCATGGGTGGGGGTTTGGGGCTCCTTAAAGGGATGGAAACCAGCAGGCCCAAAGTTCAGGCGGGTTCAGAGGAGGGAGGTGTGTCCTTCTCAGGAGCCCGGAGAAGTGGCCCCTGCAATCAGTGGAGGGTCACCCTACACAGGGAAGTCCAGGCGCAGGGACTATAAGGTCCCTAGGGCAGTACCCTCCCACCCCTCCACCGCCAGCTGTGGGAGCAGGGGCAGGAGAGGTCCCCACGGCAGCCCTGCCCCTCAGCAGCAGGGGCTGGTGTAAGCGCAGCTCCCCCACCAGTGGTTCCCATCTGAGGACGGCCTCACCTTTCCCTGCAGAGACACAACCCACACTGACAGGCGGCCCACAGGCTCATCCGTAACCTCCCAGCCGCCCACGGAGAGGTCATTGAAGGGATCAGGCAGCTCCTTGGGGTCATCCTCCAAAGGGATCTGAGACAAGGAGGTGAGAGGAGTGGTGGTCAGCATGAGTCGGGTACCTCTCCTCTCCCCGGGGCGGGCACCTGGGCCACAAACTTTCACTGCTCCTTCCCACGAGAAGCCTGGGCCAGGAACCTCTACTAGGCCCTCCTGGGGTCCCTCTTTGTGTCCCCTGGGCCAGGTCTTCCTGGAGGTACCCAGCCCTGCCCACTTTGGCCTGTAGTACCCTCTCCCATCTCCAGGTTGGTCCAGAAGTCCCTCAGACAGCTTGGAAGGCATGTAGGGACGGGTCCCAGCCCTCCATCCCTTCTGATGGCCCTCTTCATCTGCCTGCCAACCACCTTGCTCACAACCTGGGCTTCTGGCCCTGGGAGGTGCTTGTTCCCCTCCAGAGAGGGACACACCCTCATGACCTGGCTGTAGCCCTGTGACCTGCGCCCAGCAGATCCATCATCTCACTTGGGGGTGGTCCTGAGGGAGGCCTAAGGGGTGCCTGGGTCCACCCTCTCCCTTAAGGTCACAGCAGGACTGGGCTCCAGGCCTCCTGTTTCTGAGTATGGGAACAACACAAAGCCGGGGTGGCTCCCCTGAGGGTGGGTGGGAGTGGAAGGTCTGACAGAAGTCCCCTTCCCTCACCCCTGGTCAGGACTGGAGCTGAGACTCAGGTGAGGACACTCTTGGACTATCCTACAGTTTCCTCCCAAATGAAGGGAGGGGTAGCCGTGTGGGAGCCCAGACAGGATGCTCTATGTGGGACCCTTGGGTACAGGTGCTGGAAGCCTCTGTGGGCCCACTGATAACAGCAAGTCTCTCTGTCCCTCTCAGCCCTGCCCTAGACTCTGGCCACCCAAGCCATGGAGACCTTGGCCCAAACGTCCTGAGACTTGTATCTCCTGTAGCGGATCCACTTCCGCCGCCGCACGCATGAGTTCCACTTCTTGTCCTTGGTGTAGGTGGCTGGGAAGTCGATGGCGTATGTCCACCCCTAGAACATTAAGGGAGGCTCTGATACAGGACAAAGGGTGGGCAGCGGGGCCAGTGCTAGGGACAAGTCCTGACCCAGCAATCAGGACAAGTGTGCTGGGGGACACAGAGAAGACCCCACCTCCCACAGGGAGCTGTGTGGTGTCAGGCTCACTTACCTCTTTCTCAGTGGGCTCCCCTGCAAAGTTCTCATCCACATACCAAGCCGCCTCCCACTCCCAGTGAGGGGAGGGCAGTGCCACCCCATCCAGCGGCCTGTGCTGGAGTCCGGTCACATCACTCCATTGCCAGCGGTCACTCGGGAGCAATTTCACACAGAAGCCGCCCATGGGGTTCCAGCGCTGGGGGGAGGGTCGCAGAAAGAAATGGGCTCTGAGGGACGGCAGGGACCAGCCAGCTGTGCTGAGCCAAGGAGACAGGTGGTAGGGAATCCCCGCCCTGGTCAATGGCCCTTTGCAGGGTGAGCTAACAGGTGGCCTGCAGGGACTCCAGGGGGCCATCATATCAGTACTTCCCAGAGGACAGAGACAGGACTCTCTAGGCAGCTGGTCCAGGGTTCCTGGAAAAGGGCTGGGGCCCACTGTGCAAGGGGCTGGCAGACTGTTTTGTTCAGGACACAGACCCCAAAACCATGGGCACTCACTCCATGACTTTTTACACTATTGCTACTGGCATTGCCAGCTGATACATAGTGACGCCATATGTGTCAGAGTAGAACTGGGCTCTGTGGAGTTTCAATGGTCTTTCCCAAAGTAGACCACCAAGCCTTTCTTTCGTGGTACCTCTGGGTAGACTTGAACCACCAACCTTTCAATTAACAGCTTTAACTGCTTGTATTACTCAGGGAGGTACTACACTAAAATTTAAGGACTACATGCTTATGATATACTCACGGTATGACTATAATAAATCAGTATAGTAAGGACAGGTATGCATCCCTTACCGTCCATAACACAGCCTATATAAGATAACCTTTTACAATTAGGACATCGTGTGAACATCATGGTGTATACAGGCACATTCTGCACATGGTGTAACTAAAAGCCCATTATGCCAACCTGACGGGAGCCTTCTGGAGAACCCAGGAGCGCTGTGCACTAGACACAGGGGATGGGCCTAGCTGGGCGGGTGGAGCTGCACAGTGGGAGGAGGGCCGTGGGGACTGGGCAGGAAGTGAGCTGTGGCTGCTGAGGGTGTGGCTGCTGGTGGTGGCCCTGGATGCCTCCATCCTATTGTCACGGCCACTTCCTGAGCACATGGAGCCACAGGAGCTGGGTGCCAGGAGCCAGGACACACTGGGCCCAGGCCAGACTGTCACCCTAAGCCCCAAAGCAGAAGCAGAGGCGGGAGGAGGGGGGGGCGGTGGTAGAAGAGGCCCCTGAGGGCTAGAGGTGGACCCTGCAGCCGCAAGGCTCATTCACTCCTGGGACTTGAGATCTTCAAAAACAATAGGGGAAAATAACAAACAAAAGGAGAACAATTTTCCTTTTTAAAAAACTTTTATGTACAAGTGGTGGGGCATTGCCCGGATGGACATAGAGTAATGTATATCTGCACAAAATATTACTACATTACAGTAGCACTAACACTTAGTTCCATGTAAGTCTTAGACAAGTATTATACTTAGTACTGTGCTTAGGATTTTGTTATATAAACACTAATGTTGCTGTTGTTGTTATGTCAAGTCTGAACTGACTCATAGCTGATCCTCCAGTGGTTTTCAGAGGCTGTACATCAGCCAGGAGGAGACTGCCCATCCTGCCCCCACAGGGCAGCTGGTGGATTCGAACCAGGTGCCTTTGGGTTGATAGCGCAATCCCTTACCATTAAGCCACCAGAGCTTCTTTTAACATCAGTATTTGGGATCCTATGAGTATTAAATGAGAATTATGGTATTTACGATATTACCACTCAGGGGAGCTCTGGTGGCCTACTGGCAAGACGCTGAATTGCAATCCCAGAGGTACGCAGTTCAAATCCACCAGATGCTCTGCTGGAGAAGGAGGGGGCAATCTCCTCTTGTACCAGTCAGATCTGATCTGACGGTACACGTAAAAATAATACAATAAAAGGTAAAAACAAAACAAAACAAAAAAATAAACGACATTACCACTTAACACTAACAGGATAGTGTGAGTATGAAATGGGTTTTCTACATGAATTACTGTACTTATATTGCTATATCACAGTGGTATTTGGTATTATTGAGTATTACAAGAGTATGATCCATGGCTGTACCTACTGTACTATCATTTCACGCTAATACTTAGTATAATAAAGTATTAGTTGAGTATGATGTATGTATCACACACTACATGTAAGTATAATGAAGGAAATGAGTGCAGGGATTGGGGGCTCGGTTTCCTCCTGTCCTGCCAATCCCACTGAAACCCCAACAATGGCGCTCAGCTCAACGGTGTGCTGGCAGCGGGTGCAGGCACTACCTGGTTCTCGTAGGCCTCTTCACGGTGCCGGATGGGGACGTCGCTGGAACATACGTACACATACACCTGGTTGTCCGCAGCAATGCCCCAGCAGCATTCCCGCGCAGCGCTGATCCGCCTGAACTCCAGCTGTGTGTCCTGGCAGGGCGCCCAGTGCTGGCCAGCAGTGGACAGAGTGTACACGCGCCCAAAGAGGTCCACCGCCCACAGCATCGAGGCAGACATGGCGGTGGCAGCAGCTGGGGACAAACCTGTGGTCAGCATTCCAGCCAGCTCCCCGACTACAGCCCGTGGGACATAAGGGACCCCCCACTTTGAGACCCAGAGATGTAAAACCGGAGCAGGGCAGTTAGAGGCAGAATCTGGCTCTCTGTGTGCTGTGAGCTGCCGCAGGGTCAGCTATGGTCAGGTATGGTGACCCTGGGCCTAACTGAATAAAACGTCCAGTTCTGTGTTCAAGGCTTTTGACCGGCTCATGTGTGGAAGCAGATTTCCAGGCCCTTCTTCCTAGTCTGTCTTTTGTCTGAAGGCTCTGCTGAAATCTGTTCAGCATCAAAGCAACACACAAGTGACATGAAGTTCACTAGGAAGAAGTACCACCAAGAAGAGCTGGGAGAGAGGAGCCTGTGCTTGGACCCAGGGTCCCTGGACTGAATCTCTGAGGTACACTGGAAGACTGAGATCAAGACACATGGAGCTCTCCAAGGAGTCAGGGACCCACAGACGCTGAAAGGGGACAAAGACCTCCCCCCCCCCCCCAGAATCAACAGAGAGTGAGCTAGCCTTCCCTGGGAGCTAGCATGCTGAATCCAGACATCTAGCCTTTTAAACTACAAGAGAATCAGTTCTTACTTGTTAAAGCCATCCACTGGGCTTTTTGCTACAGCTGCACTGGATAACTAAGACAAGTGCTGTATGCCTTTTAAAAATTATCAATAAGAGACCAAATTATCAGCAGTCACTTTCGAGCACAGCTGAGGAGGCAGGGTGAGCACAAGGCGATAAACGCGAAAGCTAAAGCGAAAAGAATGTCAAGTCACGGAGACACAATAGGAAGCGTTCAGGAAGCAGCATCACTGAACACCACTTGTCCAAACTGCTGAAAGGCAATATCCTTTGCTGTGTGCACTTTCACCAAAACTATAATTAAAAAGTGTCACAAGGCCCTAACACCCCCAAACCCTAAGACAGCTGCCAGTGGGTAGATTTTTACTCAGAAGCTGTCAGAGCAGTACTGCCCACCACAGGGATGCCATGCCTGTGATCTTCTGGAAGTAGATTGCCAGGACCTTCTTCTGAGACACCTCTGGGTGGACCCAAAACATCAGCCTTTCAGTTAGCAGCCAAGTGCTTTAACAGTTCACACCACCTGGGCCCTAAATAGTTGGGTGACAAAGCTAGGACAGCACAATGTTAAATGCAGACTCTAAGAGGCAGGTCCAGGCTTGAACACCTGCACCCTAAAATGCTGAGGGGAAAGAACGGGTCATTGGAAAAGTCAGTTTCCAGGTTGTCATTTTCATACAAATCCATCATGTAAGAGATTCCCCAGCTCAGTTAACCAGTTAACCAGATAGCAACCGGTCAAGTCAGGCTTAGCCTGCAGGTTCAGGTCAATGAATGGGGATTCTGAACTGCAGGTGATACACTCTGCTTTAGAGATGTGACTAAGCAGTCATTTCCATGGAGACATAATTGAACCTCCAGGCAGCCAATGGAAGCCTCTGGTGCAGAGCACAGATGGAATGAGGGTGGTGTTTACAAATGCCACCCAGGGGAGGGACAGGCCACCAGTCACGTCCCAGCACCAGCTGCCCTGCTCTGTAGCCTCCTCTCTGCTCTGACTCCACCCAACTCCTGTCAGGTCACTTTAGTTGTGAGCTGATGAGGCACTCTCTCCAGGGACAATGGTCAGTGGAGGAGAGGAGAGACTGAGATGCTAGGATTTATTTTGGGCAATAGAAAGAACTTCACCTAGGTAAGCAATATGATTCACCAAGAACTTCTTCTGCAAGGCAACCTCTTATTTGGACCTTAAGTCATTCCACAGAGGAGGCAGGACCAGTACCATTCAGCACAGTTTTACTCACACTCACTTATCTACTAAGCCCTCGTGTGTTGTCACACTGCTGTGACAGCAGCTTCCTGGAGACTACAACTGAGGAAATTTTCTTTCTGAGGCCAAAAAGATACTCAAGGGAAGCGGGGGTGGGGGACCATGCAGAGATGTGGTTGAGAAAGGGACGCAGTTCTGAGAGTGCTCCGAGGTCCTCACTTCCTCCAACAGCCTGTGGCCTCTTTCCTTTCTGTTACTTGGATGTTAGCTTGCTGTGCTGAATGGGAAGGTGGGCATGAACCAGCTGCATTGATTCACTTCTGCTCAGGGTGTAGAGTGGACCTGTGCTCCACGGGTGTTCAATGTTGTGGTCTTCTGGGTGTCTCTGGTGGACGCCAAGCATCTGTCTTTCCATTCTGTCGTCTAATGCTTAGCTGCTAGTGTTTATGGGCCATTCTAGAAACCAGAAACAAAGAGGCTGGAGGGCCTGCAGCACTAGCCACACAGCTGTCCCCCTTTATGGACTGGGCCCGGCCAGCTCTGCGGGGCAGTAGAATTCACCTCCATGCACCACCACTGAGGGCCTGGCTTTCATGCTGGCCCTGTGCTCTTGGGGAAAGGTGCCACCACAGCCGCCCACACAGCCACCAGAAGTGCGTGTGGGCGTGGTCAGTGGACAGTCTGCTCAGTCTGAATCCCACAAACTCTACTCCCTCCACAGTGTCACAAAAGGGTTAGCTGAAGTCCTGCCCTCTCCGCTCTTTAAAAGCAGCCTCCGGGGGAGCTCTGGTGGCCTAGTGGCAAGGAGCTGCAACTACAATCCCAGAGGCGCATGGTTCGAATCCACCAGATGCTCTGCCAGGGAAGGAGGGACAATCTCCTCCTGTACCAGTCAGATCTGATTTGACAGTGCACGCACACACAAATAATAAATTTTTTTTTTTTAAAAAAAGCAGCCTCCGGCAAATCAAGCAAGTTGATCAGAACGCTTAACTCCAACTCGTGTTCCCGAGAACTGAGCCCCCTAGGGTTTCCTGGCTGTAATTTTTATGGACGGAGGCCTGGTGGCACAGTGGTTAAGCGTTTGGCTGCCAGCACAAAAGCTGTTCCACAGGAGTAAGATGTGGTGATCAGCTTCTGGAAAGATTACAACTTTGGAAATTCTGTGGGGGTAGCTCTGTCTTACAGGGTTGCTAAAAGCCAGAATCAAGCCCTTCTTCTGCAGTACCCTGGGTAGTTGCCCTGGGTGGCAACCCTTAGGTGGGTAGCTGAGTTCTAACAAAGATTTGATCAATATTCTCAACATTAAAAAAATATTTTTCAAGGGAGCTCTGGTGGTCTAGTGGCAAGAAGCTGCACTTCAATCCCAAAGGTACACGGTTCGAATCCAACAGATGCTTTGCTGGAGAAGAAGGGGCAAATCTCCTCCTGTGCCAGTTGGATCTCATTCAACGGTACACAACAAGGGGAAAAAACATGTTTTCTAGTCCTCCACTTTCAGTGGAAAAATACCCCCAAAATATCACAAAACTTCCTGTCCCCAAGGAAGTAGCAACTGACCTGATGTTCCTGGACACTTCACAGTCCAATGACCTGAGTACTTGCCAGAACAGACTCCACTGTTTCTAACTCTCACCCTCCTGCTACAACCCTCCCTCGTGTTTATGATAAAAACTTCAACCCCCTCCTTCGGGGCCAGCGTTCTCTGTGGATACCTGGCCCCTCTCCTTACTTGGATGGAGAATAAACTCTCTACTTTCTCACTACTTTCAATCTTAAGAATTCTCTCCCTCTGAGACAGTGGCCCACCTAACATTTTGGTGGCCTGTACAGGGAGTCTTTCCTGCTCCTTTTCAATGCCAGTTTCTTCTCACACTTGACACAGAAATTCTGACATCAACCTCATTTGGGGAAGGCCCCTTACTAATATGGGCTGGGTTTTGTGGGGTTTTCCCCCAGACAGACGCATCACAGTCATTGTCCAGTGCTTTTCACTTGTCAAAGAGAAAAATCCCAACATCGGGTTAGCTGGATAAGCTACCGCATGGTAGGCTTCAGGGGCATGTCATTTCTTTCACCTCTGTCTCGGGTGTTTCCTGTCTGTAACTTAAGGATTGAAGGGAGATGTCCCATTTCTCCTCAGTGGACACTGGTCACATGACCAAACTCCAATAGGATGCTGTCAGTCACCGAGAATGTCTCCCTTCCTCCGGTGGCCTCTTCCCTAAAACTTGCCCTAAAGTGGGACTTCTTCATCTCAGACTCAAATGTCTGTAACATCTTCTGGCCTCAACATAAAACTGAGTGGCCACAAAGTCTGGCCAGAGTTCAGCTCTCTCAATTATAAGACCATTCTACAGCTTGATCTGGGACCTCTCAGACAAGAGTCCAAATTCGGTTCCTTCTCCTCTAATCCAACCAAGTTTATAAAAGGATTTGAGTCCTAACCCTCTCCTGAGATCTGATCTTGTGTGACCTCCACATCATCTCCTCCAGAACTTCTTGATACAGCCTTTAAAGTGTTTCATGATAGAGAGGGAGAGAGGAGAGAGGTCCTCACAAGGCCCCACCCAACTACCTCGCTGCCTTCCCAGGAGTCCAGTGCCAATCTGTCACCACCCCACCTGATCACGAAGTAGCATCAATGTCCTCCCTGTCCCCCCACCCCCCATCGCGAAGTAGCATCCATGTCTGTCCCCCGGCCCCATCCCACCCAATCTCGAAGTAGGATCAATGTCCCCACCCCTAGTCCCACCCCACCTGATCCCGAAGTCGCATCCATGTCCCCCTGCCCCCCCCACCGCGAAGTAGCATCTATGTCCGTGTCCCCCACGCCCCGGCCCCACCCCACTTGATGGCGAAGTTGCATCCATGTCCCCCTGCAGCACGAAGCAGTTACGGAGGCCAAGGCATCCGCCCACAAGCCCCTTGCACATTAAAAGTCATTGTGAAAAGCAAACAGAAGGGACTGCAAGAAAACATCAACCTCAACCATCCTCAATGTTGAAAGCGTGCTTTAAAGGGTTTTGCTTTCAGGGGGGGAAAACCGATCCAGAAAACACCACAAAACTTCCCGCTCCCCCAGGTTCGGAAATCGTGCACCTGCGGACACGAAGCCATCTCCTGGACGCCCCGCGGTCCACTAACCGGAGCAGCCGCCAGAACTGAC